CTGTCAACCTCATGCAAGCCTCATCTTCTTCGAATACTGCTCTCACTACCCCATTCAGTGGCTTCTGAACAGATCTTCTCTACTAGATCATATGTTGTTGGTGCCTCCATGCTTGTGAAATCATTTCGAGAAGCATTATTCAGGGCATCCCGGAAATCCCTTCTAATTCCATTGAAGAAAATAATGATCATGTTCCAATCCTCAATACCATGACTTGGACATCTCATCAACAGCCCCTTGTAGCGCTCCCATGCCTCAGTCAGACTCTCGTCTTCGGCTTGTTTAAAAGTAAAATTTTCCTCTTGCCTCTTCATTGCCTTTGTAGGAGGAAAGTACTTGTCCAAAAAGGTCTTCTCAAGTTGAGCCCATGTCGTGATAGAACAGGGTGTTAAGTTCTGGAACCAGTGTGATGCATTTCCTAACAAGGAGAACGAGAACATTCAAAGACGGATTGCATCATCAGACACAGTCGGGCTCTTCATCGTATCACATATGCTTGCGAACCGACGAAGGTTTTCGTGAGGATCCTCAGTGCTAGCCCGGAGAAAGTGTACCCATTGGTGATCATGTTGATGAATGCTGGGGTAATCTCCATGGTTGCATCCCCAGCCGGAATGAAAACACATGAAGCTCGGGCTCCAGTCCTTCGATTCAAGCGAGCCCTAATCGAACAATCCTGGTCTGCCATGGCGACAGACTCGATGTCGAGCAGTGATGGTGGTGTAGGGACGACAGGTGATGAAGCCTGCCCTCTCTGTTGATGATTATGGATTAGGGAAGGCCTAGGAGTTGTGGTTGGCTGCTTCCCTAACTAGACCTGCTTCCTGTTCTGTCGACAGGTCTTCTCGATCTCCGGATCTAGTGGCAGTAAATCGCCGGTCGTCCTCCTAGGCATGCACAAGGAGGATAAACCTGAAAATTCTCCTTCACACTAACACACAAATTAAAACAGTTCACTCACAAAAAAAAAAGGTATGGTAGTCTCCGGCAACGGCGCCAAAAACTTGATAGGGCAAAAGCGTATTGCTTCAATTCCTATCTCGTAGTAAAACCGGAAAGTCCGGATATCGTCTCTCAGGGACTGGTACAACCTTATGATTTATCAATTCTGTGGAGCAAACTATAGGTGAAAATGGTTTGGTTGATGAAATTATTATCTAATAGCAAAATAATTAAACAAAACAAGCAAATTAATGTTGCCAGGTTGAAATTAATGGGAGAAGGCTGTGGGAGAAACACCGGGACTCGCTACCTATCATATCCAAATTAATTCACATATTCCAATCAATTTAATCCATACCTCTACAACCAGGATATCACTACTGTGCTAGCTATCCCTGTCGGGAATTACTACGTACTAAGCAATTAATTCAAATCCTACTGTCGTAGCTCAATGAGTTAATTATTTAGTCTGAAGACCGATATCCTAATCAAGACCGCATAGCACCTTATTTAATCCCCTGTCGCTTCGATAAGTTACTATGTCACATGAAATATGTTCAGTTATTAGGGTTTCACTATCGCTAATAACCTAATTAACTACAAATCAATGTATTGGTGGTCAGTCAACACAAAGAATTAAGTAATTCCATGCGATAGAGATTGAAAGAAAAGAAATACGAATTAATCCATCAAGTCAAGAAATAGCTACATCCTATGGTGTTTCCCCCAGAAATTGGGGTTTAGTTCATGACAAAAATAGAACAAACAATCATGTTTATAATCATCATATAAATAATAAAAGGAAGAGACTACTAGATCGTCAAACCGCAGCACAATTGCTTTCTTCTTTCCACAGCAGCTTGCATGCCGGTTGCGCTCTCCGGTCGCATCTCCCCTCGTTCCGCCTGCTCTCCAATTATTCCCTAAAGAAATTCCGTCCCAAAAGAATTCCCACTCCAGACAAAAGAGTTGGGGCAAAAAATTCCCCTCTTATTAACTTCCGCCAGAAATTCTCCTCCCCACTCCAGGAAAAGGAAATGGGCTGCTAGGCCCATTTTATGATTACATTGTTCGGTCAAAGTGAATTGCACCAGATCGATTCTTTCAATTTTTCAGCTCCATTCTTCTCGTACTTCCTTATTATTTTGTTTGTGCTTGCACGTTCTGTCTCTTCGTGTTTTTCACCTAAAATATATCAAAACACTAACACGCCGTGGTAATGGTCTTATAACCATTCCATAGTCAGTTGGCCCTAAAACAAGCATTATATGTCTCCAACATATGACGGAATAACACAATAAGCACATAGAATCAATATGTTTTCGACAATTATCAATCGCCATAACCTGGAATCCAAGATAGCTCGATGTGTTTTTATGAGGTACAGTGACCATCACAAGAGATATTTGTGCTACAATTCTTGTGAACATCGCATGCGCATCTCTTGTCATGTAGTCTTTCTGAACAGGTTATGTTCTATTTCATTTCTTCTAAGGACCATCTTCTGAGAATGGATTTTCTACATCCCTTGCCAAAGTTGGACAGCTTGTTCATACCAAGTCCGCCTCCAGTTGCACCTGGAGACGATTCTGATCCTCCATTTGCTCCTGTTATGCCTATTGGTTCACTGCATTCCTTGTCACTCCACTCGCCGACTCAAACAACCCAGGCCCATCCTCTTACTCTTGTGGTGCGTCCTCCTCTGGTTTGCCCAACTCCTCTAAAGACTTTGTTGATTCTCCCCCTTCGGATGAGCACGTTGATCCAGTTCATTGCCGATCTCAGTGTACCACCCTTTTTCAGCCACCCATAAGGATTAAAGATTATGTTGGATTCTCTACTGAACCTATTCCAATTCCCAGTCATTATCTGTTTGCTATTGGTTATCTAGAATGGGGTGTGTCCATAAAATAAGAGGTTGATGCTTTTGAAGAAAATCATACATGCACTATTGTTGCTCGCCCTCATAACCTCATAGTTATTGGTAATCGTTGGGTTTATATGTTAAAATGCACCCAGATGGCTCTATTGAGAGATTTAAAGCGCTTTCGGAGGCGCAAAGATTTCGGCAGGACTTTGGAATTGATTATGACGAGACCTTGGCTCCGGTGGTTCGAATGCTGACAGTTAGAAGCATCTTTGCCATTGCAGCTCTTAAGAATTGACCAATAGTGCAATTTTATGTGAAAAATGCCTTTCTGCGTGGAGACTTGAAGGAAACAATCTATATGGAATGTCTTGCAAGATATGATAAAGGGGGGAAAGATGTGGTCCGTCAACTTTGACACTCCATTAATGGTTTGAAGCAAGCCACACGGGCTTGGTTTAATAAGTTTCATAACACTATTTTACAGGCAGGGTTCACACAAAGCTCGAGTGACCCCTCTATATTTCTGTAAAATATATTTCATAGAGTGGTTGTGCGTCTGCTCTACGTGGACAACATGATATTAACAGGAAGTGGTAGCGAAGGCATCAAGAAGATAACTCAGTCTTTACACTCGGATTTTCATCTTAAGGAACTGGGTAATGTTTCGTATCATTAGGGTTTAGAGATAAGATGTTCTGCAAAAGGAATATTTGTCAGTCAGCGAAATTATATACAATATCTCTTAAAAATGCGCAATATAGTGATTGTCAACCCTGTCCCCCCTCCCTATGGAACAAAATTTGAAGCTGAGCAAAGAGAGTGGAGAACCATTAGAAGATTAGACCTTTTACAGAAGTATTTTAGGGAGCTTGATTTATCTCATTCATACCAGACCATGTAGTTCAAAATGCCAGCCCGTTTATGGGAAATGCTAGGAGCCTAGGACTACTCACTTGGATGTCGTGCATACGGTATCTGAAGCATACACAGGATGTTGGAATGTTATTTCTTGCAGATGGTAAGACAGAGCTGGAAGGTTTTGCCAATGTAGACTATGCAGGTTGCCTCGATACTAGGTGATCTACATTTGTATAGTGTTCAAGATTTGGACTTTCCTTTATTTTCTATCGATGCAGAAAGCAGGATAAGGTATCCAAATCGTCAACGGAAGCATAATATCGTTCAATGTCAGAATTTAGCTCGAAAATGGTTTGGATGCAATGTCTCTTTGTGGAATTAGGAGTTGAATGTAAGCTACCTATGAGAATGTATGGAGATAATACAAGTTCAATCCACATAGCAATTAATCCAGTTCTCCATGACTGGACCAAACACATAGAGGTTAATGTGCACAAAATTCGGCAACTAGTTGCAGAAGACATGATACAGTTGAGTCATCTACCGATAGAGGATCAGACTATAGATTTGTTGACTAAGTTGTTTCTTCAAGCCGACATTGGTACTTGTCTTGCAAAATGATGTTGGTAACTCGACATAAATTTGAGGGAGGGTGTTAATTATATTGTTTGGATATGCAAATATCCTTTAGAGGATTCATATAGGTTAAGGTCCATAGACTTATATATACTCGTGTATCTTGTAAAGAGAGTATCAAGTAATAAGAAAACCTACAACCTGTGAGAGAGATCCTCACTGTGTACTAGTGTCTCACTGGAGATACCACGTTACAAAATCTTTGTGTTATTTACGTTTTCTTCAATCTTTAACACCCAACATAAGAAGAATAGAAGATGGGGAGGTTTTCTGCAATCTTTACGTTTTCTGAAAACGAAGAAGATGAAAGTGGGGGGGGGGGGGGGGGGAGGGGGGGAATTTTGGATTAATAAATAAACAACATGGACAAAGTACTTGGAACAAATTGTTTGCTTGTGTTGGGTTTCAAAATAGTTGGCGGCAACTATTTGTAATCCAACTATGTCAAATGTTGAATTTTTTTCGTGTTCTAAATAACTCATTTTTACCAATTCTCAATCCCAAACGAGGGATTGTTTTCGAATCCAGTGAGTAATTATTTCAAAACCCCTCAAATGCAATTACCTATCCAAACGAGTCTTTAGCCAGTTGGACATTCTAATTCAACAACAAATTTGGTACGACTAATCATAATAATCACCATTTTCTTCATTTAATCTCATAACCTTCCAAAACAAAAAAATAACAAAAATATCTTATTACTCAACAAATTGAAGAAAGGAAAAAAAACATAAAACAAAAGTTAATTCCTTATCTGTGCATTCTCACGATTCAATCGGGAATGGATCTAATCTCCATTCTCATATCCTCTTCTTCCACAATATGAACTCGACGACTGAGTTCCCGATTGATTACAAACACCTCTATTGTATTCTTATCAAGTAAACACCGATCGATGGCGATGTGCCGATTAGATCTCTCCGTCCTTTTTTGTCATAATTTACATCCTATATCATTGTTAATCAAAAGCATTTATTCGTGTTAATGTCTCTCATAGAAAATTCCTAATCATATAATCGACTGAATAATCAACTTCCATCGCAGATAATCAATCGATGTCGCACTCACAGCAGCCATGTGCAGCGTGCAAGCTTCAGAGGCGGAAATGCACGTAAGAATGCGTATTCGCACCCCACTTCCCACCCGACCAACTCACAAAAATTCGCCAACATCCACAAGGTGTTCGGCGCCAGCAACATGGCCAAGCTGCTGAGCGAGTTCCCCATCACACACCGTGAAGAGGTCGTGAATTTCTTAGCCTATGAGGCAGATGCCCGTCTCCAAGACCCAATCTACGGCTGCTTGAGCCGGATTTTGTTCTTGCAGCACCAGCTCAAACAGCTCCACATGGACCTTGAAGCTGCAAAAAAAGATCTCATTAAATACATGGGTCCTCAGGCCCATCATCATCAAGCTATAATCATAAATAATACTACTAACAACTCTGTCTTCCAGCAGCAGCAGCAGAATGGCAACAACATGATACACATGCATGATGGGGATTCCCACGGTGGCGGCAGTTCATCACCATCATCAGCTGAGCAACAACAACGCTCAACAGGTCTTTGAGGCACAATTGTTGACCAACGAGCTTGCCACGAGAGAGCAGCAAGAAATGTTCAGGGCGTATGAGCAGCAGAGGCAGAGCCATCATAATCATAATCAGGAGGTGATTGGGTTTGAGAGCGGGATTAATAATGGTGGGATTAGTGAATATCATCATCATGTTGGGGATAATTCAGTTCATGATGGGTTTGATAATGAGATTAGTGGTGGTGTTGGGGAAGTTGAGCCGTGCTTGGCCCTTGGCAGCATGGATGGACGAGGGAGTTATAAACATAGTCATAATCATCATCATCAATTGCAAGAGCAGCTTTTCATTCATGCAGAGCAACAAGAGCAGGCAGAAACTAATCATAATTATCAGCATCAACATAGTCCAGGGAGTGATGAAGGTACGAGCTTAGGGCCTCTCTCTTATAATTAATTAATTAATCAATTGAGGTTCGTTAGACAAAATTATAAAGTACAATAATAAAAATTTTGCTCTTATTAAGAACGGAGTTTGTTGGACTTTATGGATATGCTTGAAATATTGGTGAGGGAATTCAGAGTTGTGCTTACTAATACAAAGAGAGGATGACTCGCTATAACTACAACTGTCCAATCGAAGGCCAAGTATAACCAACGAACGGGTGTAGAACAGGATAAGCAAGGAATAAGAATATCGAACCACAGGTCTCCTAGGTGTACCTTACTTCGGGTTTAGGTTTTGGTTCTCTAGTCAACCTAGAATAGTAATTAGAAAATTAAACTAACCTAACTAACTACTAACCTAGCTAATTACAAGTTGTGGAGCTCTCATAGGTTTGAATCCCCCTATTTCCATCATTTGGTTCAATTTTGAGTACTATGCTAGCTCAATCAACTCACTACCCTACTGTTATGAGATCAACTCACTTGGGATTGACCCGAAATGGCGAAATGATGGATAGGTAGGTGTTTTATTCAACTTAGGGATTCATATATAAATAGGAGGTCGATCGAATCAACTCCCTCGATGATTACCCGGACGCCATATGATTTGAATGACCCGAAGATGCCAATAATGGGCTCTAAGGGGATTATCTCGCTCCTATGTCAAAAGCTCAATTGACATGAAGTGAAATCCAAAATCACGCAATTCATGAAAACCATCCATCAAATAAACAAAATTATCAATCAAACATAGAATATGTCACATACATCACAACAAACCAAAATCTAGACTTAGGGTTCCTCAACTTAAGAGAAAGAGGTCTAGTTCATATAGAGAGAAGAGAGATTACAAAAATAGCTCAAGATCTTTATCTTCTAGGCTTGAATCCTTGACTCCAAGATCAACCTAAGGAACCAATTAAGCTCTAAGATCACTCAAGATCACTCCTTTTCTCTCTAAAAAATACCTCTTTGATGTTTTGGGTCCAAACCCTAGAGAGAACCAAGTTCTCCTCCAAAAATTAACTCTCCTTTCTCTCTCCCAACTATTCTTTATATTTGCTAGACAGTGCACTTCACAGTCACTATTCACGGGGGTGATAATAGCAAGCAGAACATTGATCTCGGTAAAAAAACACACCATTTTGGGGTATTTTGATGGTCATAGGGTGATTTTCACGGTCACAGGACTATGACATCTTACTTGCCTACGAGACACACAATGGCTGTTGGAATTTGAAAATTTCATGGTCTGGGTGTGACAATTGAGTGATGTCCGTGAAGTCTTGCACTTCACTCCCGGGGGAGATTTTCACCCCCTCAGAGCATGACATTTGCCTCCTGCCGGTGAACATTGCCCAACCTCCACTTTTTGGCTCGTTTTTACTTCCGAATGACTAGAAACTCGTCCCGCACCTTCCCACACGTAGTAGGACCTGAAATATGACAAAATAAGAACAACCTAGCATAAAATAGGTCGAGTATTGAGAGCAACCAAGTTAAACAATCAAGATATGAGGGGGTAAAACATGTCTTATTATCAATGTTGTTAGAACCGAACCGGAGTATGAACCTTTATAGTGAACGGTTCGCACTTTATTGGTTTAACCGGTATTAAACCGTTGAAAACCCGATAACAAACCAATGCCTCGTACGTGAATAAGTATTATAAGTACCACACTTGCATTAATTTTAAACAAATTTAAAACATGTGCACTAAAACTTCTTAAGTCTAAAATCTCACATAAACTATCCAAATATGTGAATTTCTCTTAAGACCTAAAATCAAAAATTCCACACATAATCCATCTAACATTATTAATCTTCACGTATCTTAATGTTTAACAAATATTCAAGAAAGAAGAGTTGGCCTGTGAAGCCCTAGTAATTTAATAATTACAATTAGAAACAACAAAAAAAAGCACTAATAATTTATTGTTACACAGCTTCCAACAGGAAGAGTTGGCCCTTGGGCTTTGAGTCGGGAAAAGAGAAGGAATTGATGAGTGCAATTTCCCAACCCCACGCGCGTCCCCTGTGTTTCTTTAATTAGACGGTTGGAATAAGAACCGGTTGGTTGGTTTGAATGGTTCGAACGGTTAGTCGTTCAGACCGCTTACCAACCGCCTTTTTTGACCGTTGTGGCTTTTAGAGTGTTCCGAGCCGGGCTGGTGTCCGGGTGCCGGTTTTACCGGTCCGACCGACCGGCTCTGCTCGGCTTTAACACTGCTTATTATGCCCGAATCAGAGGAAGTGAAGGGTAGTGAGTTATTGCTAGAATCTGAAGTTACTAGTAACTACAAACTAAGTCAGTAAGTTGACTCAAAAGGTAGGGCATGAATTGCAACCAATAGAATTAAGATTCAAAATTTGGGATTATCATATTGAAAATTAGTTGTTTATTGTTCAATAATTTAAGCATCAACAATAATTGGCGAAAAAGAATGTATGGTTTTCCTTTTATCGTAAATGTCCACTCAGAAAGAAGCTTGTATTCTAGAACAACAATAAACTCCACATATCTTGAGAACTTTGAACGAAAAAATAGAAAGTGATACACAAGAAAAAAGACAAAATGAGACACAATTTTACGGGACTAATCCACGGGAGAGGAGAGCCTCCCGACATTGAATGTTTATTATGATAATCAACTGTTACACGGCCACCAATCAACACCTAACCATTTTGTGAAGATATCTGCAACTGAAGTTGCAACCTAACCTTGAGAGGAAAAATATATCTAGCTACAACACGTTCATGAACAAAATAGCAATCCATCTCAACATGCTTGGTTCGTTCGTGGAAGATCAGATTAGAAGCAATGTGAAGTGATGCCTGATTGTCACAATGAAGAGGCATGACCCATGACTGAGAAACACCCAACTCACTAAGTAACCACTAGAGCCACAAAATTTCACTGACAGTAGTGACCATTGCACGATACTCTGCTTCATCTAAGGACCGAGCAACTACCTTCTATTGTTTGGTGGGCCAAGAGATGGGTGCAGACCCCAGATTGATGAAGAAGCTACTAGTGGAGCAATGTGTGGTTGACAACCACCCCAATCAGCATCTCAATACGCAACAAGCTGCAAATCATTGGAAGCAGGAAAGTAGAGACCTTGACCATGTGCCATCTTCAGGCATTGAAGGATGCGAACAACAACATCCATGTTAGCCTGTGTGGGAGCATGAAAAAAATGATTCACAATGTTAACACCATAAGTGATGTCAAGACGAGACATAGCGAGGTAAAGGAGGCGACCCACTAGGCGTTGATATGTTGATCTAGCAACGAGGATGCCGTCGGAGGGCTTAGTGAGTTGATGATTTTGTTCATTGGGAAAGGCACTAGAAGGAGCTCTAAGAACACCTGCTTCCTCGAATATAGCAAGAACAAACTTACGTTGACTGACCACAACTCCTTGAAGGGAATGAGCTACTTCTATTCCAAGAAATATTTGATGTTGAAGTGGCAATCCAAGAATTGTTTGACATGGGTGAAAACATACCAATTTCATATCATCTATGTATATAAGTGCAACAACAAAAATATCACCTTTGCGGAAGAGGAACATTGAATGATCGACAAGGGAAGATGGATAACCGATCTCACAGAGTGCGGGGGTGAATTTTTATACAAATTCCTTGATGCATGTTTCAGCCCATAAATAGATTCATGTAGTTTGCAAACACGATGATCAACATAGTCAAATGTGCGTTTCTAGGCAGAAGCGGAGACATGAGTAAAAACGTAAAAGCGTAGTGTAAAAGCCTAAGTTTTTATGTGTAATCTGATTAATATTCAGCAAACTACCTGTCTCAATTAAAAAAAATCACTACTCATGCAGATAATCTAATTTAACAAAATTTTAATAGTGGAGCAAACGTACAACTAAACCAACAATGCAATAAGAAAATAATGACGCTTCTTCATTCATAAAAAGTATAACCAATTATCAACTACACTTCATTGTCAACCATTTTGTTTCAATATGGATGTCATATTAAAAAGGATTACCGAGAGTTCTTATATTATAGGGTTCTTCATCCACTGGAAGCAATAAATTAGATTATTAGTTAATATTAATCACTGAAGTCACACATCAAACACCAAATTAATCAATTGATGAAGCTGTGGTGTAACATCTTCGTCCCTCTTGAACATTACATATGTCATGCTCACATCAAGGTGACGTCATCCCAATATTTGGGCAAGTTTTAAATTATGAAGCAATTATTGATTTGATTAATTACGATATGAGGAAGGTGTTTTAATAATTTTTAATTGGGGAAGAAGAGAAATTAGAAGAGATTTCTAGAGAATGAAGGTGCAAAAATCTCCACCTCATTCATCTCATTCCCCTCCCCCTAATCGGTCCTTTCTTTCCTCTCCCACTTAGCATACCATCATCACCACCAACAACAAACTTCGAAGGAACTAGGAAATTTATGGGGAATTAGAGCTGGGGAATTGAGAAGGAAAGAATAAGGAAAGGACTAGAGGAATAGAGGAGCTACAACAAAGGAGTGAGTTCAAAAGGGGATTCCAATAAAACTCGTCGTTGGATCATTATCAAATTTGAAGGACACGTTTTTTAGATCCAATCCGACCGTTGGGATTATCATTATAATATATGGTTTGTCGAGAAATGTTGCTGGTCAGATAGATTGTGAACCTGTTTTCCTATAGCCGGGCGGTTGGTTGCAGGGATAATTCCGGATAAACCAACCGTTGGATCGTTCTCAAAATTTAAGGACATGTTCAAGACTTGTTGGTGTTCATTTGAACGTAGGGATCGATGTTTTAGTAACTGATTTGTAGGGAGAGAGGGTGTAAAATTAGTTGAAACTCCTTTAGCTGGAAACGTATACAAAAACATATCAGAAATGCGTGTTTGACCATTTTCGTGGGCCATTTGATGTAAACGTTCTCAAGTAAAACGCCTTGGAGAAATGCATTATTGACCTCAACTTGATGAATAAGCCAATATCAATTGACTGCAATAGTAAGTAGACAACGAACCGTGACAAGC